CAGCAAAGGTCCAATTGAAACCTTTGGGAGAGCTCTCAGTGGCTTCACTGGTTCCCAGTTCAAGCCTCAGCAGCATTTCCACTCTAACTTCCCTTGCCTTTTACAGCCTATTTACTCTGAACCCAGTTAAAGGACTTGCTATTTATAGGTGGGCTGGGGTCTTTCTGGGAAATTCTGTCTCTGCTTTTACTGCCTCAGCTAGGAGCAAATCAGCTGGGGCATGTTGGCTGTTAGTCCTGAGACCAGAAGCAGGTGCTCCTTGTCCTGAATACCCAAGGGCATCTTGCTCTGAAGGTTACTGGTTTCTCTGTATGACCCTGTCATTATTTAATAAGTTTAGGATCAGACAGATTATTTCGCTGCATGACAAGTACTTACTCTTCTCTGGGATTTTGGGCAATTAAAGTCTATATGGATCTGATGTCTTATTTACTGTAGTAGTTCTTATATTCCATATTCACATCTCCAGAGAGGACTGATATAATGCTGCTGTTGTGTATTCCTAAGTAGAAAGCAGCTGCATGGAGTTGGTGCTGGAAACATTTTGCATTCTCTCAGGTTGTTGCTCTCCAACAGAAGTGGAAAAGCTGACAAAACTTTCCTCTTCACAGTAGCTTTAAACTCTCTAAAGGCTGTAATTAAAATTAGCATTTTTTCCGAAGTTCCCTGGTGATTTAAGGTAGTTCTCCTGGGCAGCAGTCATTATGTGGGCTAATAGTCAACAGCCAGCTTTGCAGCAACCAGCACATCAAGTGTTCATGTGCTTGTGTGTCCCTCACCACCCTGAGAGTACTCAAGGGGGGTCAGTGTGCTGAGACACAGAGGTTTAGGGATATGTGTTTCTAAGACACCTGGGCACTCAGAATGGCTCAGGCACTGTGGATGACTCAAGGTACAGTGTCCCTTGGATGGACACAGGAAAATAAAGTGAAGCACTTGCAAATCCCCAGCAGGTCCCAGTTTCAGCTGAGTTCCTCCCCGAGCAATTAACCCCAGAGAAAATTACAGTCTGGCACAGCACCATTGACAAGTTGCCAGGATTGAAGTGTAGCCAACTGCTCAACTGAGTGTGTGGCATTTATTGCCTGTGGGAAAGGTAAAGTGAAATGAATCCATGGTTGAAACCACTGTGTGTTATTATATGCCTGCAAAATACCTGCAAATCCATCCTCTTGTGGACACATTCATAGCTCGGGACATGCTGGTTATATAATACTGCATTGAAGGTGAAAAAGGTCCTTTTTCACCAAATTTAGTAAAGCTGGGCATAGTCATGGTAATCACAAGGTGGTGAAGCTATAACTGGCTCCTCTTTCTCCTGGTTATACCAATGTAAAAATGCTATGTCCTCTTCTACCTGGCCAAATCTACCATAAAATCAGAAGGGCAGACTGCCTAAAGGGCAAATCATTTTGCTTCCCAGTAAACCCTGCAGATATAACCTGTTCCCCAGGCTCCCCTGGCTGTTGAAAGCAACTATTCCACACAGAGCTTGCTGTCTCTTTGCAAATGAAGGAACAAAGCTCACGGGAATAAAACCAGTATTTTCCTTGACAGTGGGACAGCTGTTATGATGTACAAAGCCTTGAACACTTGAAGAATGTTTTTATCATCATGCTCAGGAGTTTTCTCTTCCTGAACTTTATTCCCTGCCAGTGCTAGAAGGTGACTGTCACAAGGGCCCAGATTCTCAGTGGGCTTTGACTGCTGCAACACCTCTGAGTCTGCTGGACATCAACAGAGTTCAGAGGCTGCGAAACTGAGGAGAAAAATCTTCCCCTAAAAGCTGATATATCAGTGATGTGAGTGGGATGCCTCAAGGGTCTTAATTATAGAACCCTTAAGGTTGGAAACAACCTCTAAGATCATCAGGTACAAACATTAATCCAGCACTGCCAAGTTCACCACTAAACCATGTCCCCAAGTGCCACATCCACGTGCTTTTTGAACACTTCCAATGATTTGATTCAAGTTGATCAACCAGTCTCACTGTGTGTGTTTGCAGCTGGGTCTGGACATCTGATGCTTCAAACACTGAGATATCTTAGGGAGAAAGGGATGGCACAAACAGGCAAAAATTCACGTTGGAAAAGGAAAAATCTTGGGAGAGGAAAAGACAAATGACTCACAATTAGATTGTGGGAACTGCAGGATGCCTGAAATCCTGGCCACACTTGAGTCACTTTGCCATTTATTTCATGAAGGCAGGTGACTGAGGAGTACAAAATCTCCTCAATTACTACAGAACAGGGTGCCAAGCAGAAGTTTCTTATCCTTGCTTATACAACCCTAAAAACTGTCCTTTGCCATAGTCACTACAGCTGACCTGAAGGAGCAGTTGTTACAATTACTGACTGTATTTTTAGCTGATCTTGCATGTGACTCAGTAGAGAGAAATGAGGAAAGACAGTCCCATGGGAATTCCCAGCTCTCCACACACCACCATAGATCACCACAGCTGTGAGAGTCCAAGAGAAAAGACAAAAAGAAGGCATTTCCTCTGCTCAGATGTATCCTGCCACCAGGGAATGTTTCTGTAATTTAATAAACATCTTAATAACAACAAAAATAGGGTAAAAAGAACACTGAGCAGACACAGACCATGGCTGTAACTAACTGTGCTTTCCTAGAGTACCAAAAGAGCTTTATTTTTCAGCCAGTCCTCCATTTTGGTCTTTTCTTGATTAATCTGTGTGAGGTTTTTATGATTTGGGTCATAACTCCATAAAGTTCTATTTTTTGGAGCAGTTGGAATCAGAGGAATGTAAGCGCTTCCTGCACCATAATGTACCACTGGTTCTCCATAAAAAGTGTATACTGAGATAACAGGCAAGAAGTTGGGAACATCCTCAACAAAGGTTCTGAATAGACACTTCTGGCTCAAGAGGAGCCTCTTTGTAGCTAACTCACCTTAGATTCATGCACTAGGAACTGGCTAGGCTACCAAGCAGACCTTCAAGGGTTAATGGTCATGTCGTTTCTAGTAGGTGTAATGAAAAGAAATACTAATATGCTCAGGAGAAGAATAAAAGCTTTCATAGTGCAAGGATAATCTGCTGACCCAAGGCACTACTTGTGTTGCTCAGGAAAGCACCAAAGCCCTTCGGAGTCTTAATCTCCCTGGCTCAGCTCTGGATCACTGACTGCTTTCAGCATGAAGGACTGGGTGCATTTGTGCAAGTGTCTGTCTATTCCAAGAGGTAAGGTGGACATTTTGCAGGAGAAGGATAACAAAAAGCCAAGAGACAGGCTCTGTCCGTGGGACTTTGTACAGATTCAAAGGCATCTTGATTCAAGACCTCGCTCAGCAGAAGACCAGGTATGTTTAACAACTCTCTGCTACTTCAGTCACTGCAGAAGATAATTAGGATCCACAGAATCCATATTCCATTTTATCTCACAGTGGAGATAATTTGATTTAATAGGGGACACATTTTCTAAATTAAGATTTGTGATCACCAGTGAAAACAGATAGTATTTTTTTAGCAGAGACAGAAAGGCATATGTACCCTCAATGTCCTGTTCAAAGGCAGAGAAGTGTCAGAGATTGACCGTGGTCTGTGTTTGTCAAAGACATTTGTGCTAGTGTTGGTGGCCAAAAAAACCCAACAAACAAAGTGCACAAATAATCACACTTTCCAGAAATATCACCATGTTCCAGCGGGGCAACCAAGGAACCTCCCATACCTGGAGGTGCTCAAGACAGTCTGGATGGGGCTCTGAGCAACCTGGTCTAGTGGAAGGTGTCCCTGCCCACGGCAGAGGGTTGGAACTGGATGATCTTTAAGGTCCCTTCCAACCCAAACCATTCTGTGATTCTATGAACCTTAATGGACAATTAGAGCTCCTCAACTGGTCAAGATAAAAATACAAACCCTTGATCTTCAGTAATTTGTAGAGTTACAACATCACACTGTCCAAAGGAGCTGAAACTGCCCCATATTGGAGTCAACCTGTGTGGAAAGTGTCACTTTCCACTGCCATCAATTAGGTGATACAAGAAAGAGGAAGATAAAAATGTGACCATCCAACAGAGAGAAGACCACTAACTTCTCCTTATCTCATGCCTGTGGGGCAGATCTTCAAATTGAAGGAAAAAATATTAACCCCACAAGGACTTTTCTCCTTTTCTGCACAGATACTCAAGATGGAAACTGGAGTAACCTCTGAAGGTGAGCGCAGCCCTGAGATACATCTGTCCATTCAGAATGGAATTGAAGTAATAATTCATCTCTGCTTCTGTTTTACAGTGATAATACTGTGTTGAGAGACAGATAGTGTATTCCCTCAGGCATGGTGCCCTTCCAAGCCAACTACCTGACTCATGAAACTGGAGATTCTTTTCATCTGTCCAACTCAAAGAACTGAAGAAACAAAAACACTGAGGCACCAGTCTGAACCCTCCACATTAAAGGTCAGTTTTAAGCATTGGTGATGAGCCCTTCAGCTTGGTGTGTTGGCTCATGTTCAGATCTGTGCCCTGCAATAATATCTGAGATCTGTGCAGAAAGAGTCACATTCTCAAATAGGACAAATTCACTTTTCTTTCAGCAGAACCCATTGAGTTGTACGTTGCTAAGGGTTTTGCCAAGGTGATTTGAAGACAGCAATGTCTACTCTGCTCTTAGACTGGATACTAAATAGTCTACCAAATGCACTTTGCTGGGAATTCTCACTAACCTGCATCTCCTCCATCTGCTCAGAACAGACGGTTGCCCAGGACACCAGGACAACCTTATCTGTAGCATCCTAGTTCAGTTTTGTCAGCACTGACCTTTAAGAGTGATTAAATCTTCTGCACTTCTTGTTCCCATCCCATTCCCTCTACCATGATCATTTCTCAGTGCAGGCAAATCATCTCACCTCGAGGTGTCCATTCAGAGCCACCTCTCACCTCAGACACAACAAACATTTTGCAGAAGGAAAACAGCGAGACAACGTCTGAACCAAGCTTTGCAACCTCACAGCCAACCAGTCCATAATGAACACAAGGACCTCACCTGCTTCAGCTTTGTTCCCACCATGGAAGCGCTGCTGTCGAGCACAAACACAACGTTCTTGGGCAGAGGAGGGAGATCTGTGGGGGCGAAGTAGTGCACGAAATACCCATTAAGAATCTGTGGAAGAGCAAGGAAGTCGGGAATCAAAGGCAGATCAGGATGCAATGTTCCACACACATCATTATGGGATATTTGGGCACACCTGATCCTGCTTTGGAGGACCTGAGTGCTCCTTGTGTAGGGGGCGTGTTTTAGGGCTGCTGGAAGGGGCATCCTGGGAGATGAAGTCCCAAATGTACTCCTGGACACATGGGCATTGGAGTACCACATGGTGATTGGTTAAGAGAATCATGTGTTGTTTTAAAGTGCATATAAAAGGTGTTGTTTGCTTCCAATAAAGGGATTTGGTTGTTTGAAACCTCCACCAACTGGGTCCTGTGGGCTTATTATTTATTATATTAATAAATGTCACACTCCTTGGTATCCCTCTTAATTCTGGTCCTCTGATTATCCAGCCTACTGAAACACTCCACTTTTCTTTCCATGGTGGACGTAGGGGTTTCCTTGCAAATACAATGAGGATGTAACATATATATGCAGAGATCAGAACCACAACATGCACTTGGGGAACTGGCCTTGTATCCAGATATATACAACCTATTTCTACTGAGAAACTGAGAAGCAGATACAAAAAAGAAACTCAATTAAATAGATACCTGTGATTTTTTAAATCCATCTTGTCGCTGCCAATTGACTGGTTTTATTTTGGATAGTTCTTACAAGATGGAGATGTAGCCTTCACTTGGAAAACATTTTCTAGGAATTTGGAGCATGCAAGACAATTGGACTATCTCAGGTATAGTTAATAAAACAGAAAAGATGAGTCCTGTATACAGTACCTGAACATCCCCAACACTCAGCTCCCTGTTGACATCATATCTAATTATGAAGTCTCCCAAAATTCCATTTCGGGCTATCCTGGTTTGCTCAACAACACTGGGATTGAAAGTAACTTTAGCTAAAGTTTTGGTTTGTCCAACTACAGTAGAAGGAGGAGGAGACACATCACCTGTTGAGATAAAATTACAATATTAAAGGTTTTCCCATTGTCTCACAGATGTCAAAGCACAGCACACATGGTATTGCCATGGAGTTAGGTCAACCAGCACAGTTACATACTGAGATTAAAGATTCAGCTCACCAGTGAAAAAATAAGAACTTAATAATCTCTCTTCTCTAATTCTAAACTGAAAACAGCATTGCAGTGCTATCAGGGGTATAAACGTTTAGGCAAAATTCCTGTGCTCAGTTCTGTTTGGAGGTCACTGAACTCAAGGGCCAGACATTTTCTGTATGGCTGTTCATGGCTTTCTGTAAATAATGGAACACACAGCTTCAGGCACGTACGTGCTGTTCATTCCAGCCAACTCCAGACATCCAGAATGCAGGTCCTACACCTGAGATCCTGCCAGTCAGCGCAAGTATGATTCATTTGACCTGCTTAAACACTTCCTCCAGGATTAGATTAATCACACTGCAGATTTCTCCCTATTGATTACAAAGAGTTCTTGAGCTGGCATGTTCAGATGTACTGTGGGCATGTGAGGTGGGATTGATCTGACTGATCCCTTATGTGTAATGTCTACATTTTAACAAGTCATCTTAGCTGCCTTTATGTTCAACAAAAGCCATCATTACAGTTGCTGTAATTTCTCAGATTGAGTTAAAATCCAGCACTTGCCAGTGCAGTCACCCAAACTGCATCCCTGAGATGTAACTCTCCCTAATCTCCAAAAACCCTGAGCCAACGAAAAGGGATGTGCCTGGCAGAGGGCATCTCAGACAAAGACAATGATTTCGATCTGAGTCACCCTGCAGGAAACCTCTCCTTGTCTTGTTAGATGTGTTCATTTTCTAGAGCTGAGGGATATGGAGATTCCTTGTTGTCTCTCTGTGCGGGCAAAATCTCACCTTACTCTTTTTTTGTGTGTCAACTGTTCATTCCCTCTGAACTCCACTGTGACACTTACATGAGACTGGCCAAAAGTCAGATTTGGCCCCGAACTTCCCCAGATTTTGAGGTCTTTTCCCCTTAACCCAACTAGGAATTGAAAACACCAAAATAGATTCTCTTGGTGGTTCAGCTCTCACAGTGATTATTCCAACACTCCTCTGAGGCACAGAAGTTTTATTATATCTACTCATGTGCTGGTTAGAATTGGTGGGAATGAGCTGCTTAATTGTGAGGGGAGGTCTCAAATCTTTGCCAAGGGGGGTCCAAGAAGTCTGTGGTAAGGCAGGGAAAATAGGGGATGGGTGAGATTCAGTTCCAGTTTAGATGTTCACAATGTAAATACCTACATCTAAGCTTATTTTCTAGACTCCCACCATGCAAGTAAAGATCAGGTCAAGAGTGTCAGAGATTAGGGTATGATACATCTGGCCAGACACATACGTCTGCTTTAGGATAATTTTAATTATGTGCTATACCTCATTAACAATAGTGATCCCAATGACAAGGTACAGGCAACTCCTCTCCAGGGGTTTCTATAATTCTGTTTATGTAATGAGAAGTGCCCTTTGTAAAGGGCTTTGAGCAGCATTAGAGAAAGGCAATGTGACATCTGTATGCAACAGTGAACACAACCTCACATCCAGACCCCACAGTGATTTACAAAATCAGAAATGTGTGATTATGACCATTTAACAAGCAGAAAAATGAGGCATGGAGTGGTTACTTAACTCACCAGACTTCCCACAGGTCAAAGGCCATGGAAATGCCAGGACTAGAGTTCTTGAGGGTTTATAAAATGATTAGTCAAATCTGTGACTTTTACACTAAAGTTCTATGTACAATCTAGGCTCCTCTGGGCAAAGGAATAAAAGCAAGATTAATAAATCAATACACTCGAGGATGTTACTTCAATTTTGACTTGGCTTTACTTTTATAGCTGTCCTGTGAGTGCATTTGAATAGACAAGGCACAAGACTGTACCAGTGAGATGGGGAAGGATTTTATCATAGACCCAATTTTACACAAATAAATTGTAGTTGGAGCACCTGGAACATGAAACAAACTCCTCAGCAAAAGACTTGACCAAGGAGACTGAATGACAGATATTACTTAATTTCAGTAAAGGTAAGAATTGACTCTGCACCATTTCTCTTACTGTGCCAATTCCAATCCATCCATCCTGACGGAAACAGAGCGAGATACCCATCCAATACATTGAAAACACTTAAGGACACTAGTGTTGGATCTTAAAGGGGGCTTATAAAATGATTACCCAGAGCTTTGACATTTTTTCTAAAATCTGTGCCCAGTTCAGATTTCTCCTGGCAAAGAAAAGTCATAAATCAATATCTCTATAAGATTTTACCTCTGTCTTGATTTGGTTTTACTTTTATAGCTGCCCTTTGATCTCATAAATCAAGAGATACAATATGTTTTTAATACACAGTGCATCAGATCTGCTCGTATTGGCCTCCCTGGATTTTCCATCTGTCTCCTATCGTTTCCAAAATCCCATTTAACTGCCAGTGTGTGAGAAATGCCCAGACTTCATATAAATGGCTTAACAGTCCATTTATATTTTCTGATCTGAGGGTTTCACGTTATTTCTCCTCAGCTGCTGAAAGGAAAACTTTGTTGTGGGTTAGGCTGCTTGGCTGTATCACGGCGGGGTCAGTGCGAGTCAGTCCCATGCTGGAAACAGAAGCTCCCTTCTATTCCTACTGCAAATACTCATCTGTGGCCTTTGGACAGCTCTTCTGTGTTTCTCTGCCACAAGTACAATGGTGGGCGAGGACAATTTGCTGTGCCACAACAGCATGAGTTCCAGTCCTACCATTTCTATGGACCATCAGAAATTAGATGAGTTTGGTAGCAACTCCATGGCTCAGTTTCCCCTCTGTTAAATGGGCATAATCACATTTATCCAGTAATCACAATTATAATCACATGTATCCAGTTTTGTAAAGCAATGTGGAATCTGGATGGATCATGTGGATCACGTTGCACCCTTCTATTACTCCTTGAAACACTCCGTGGAGGTAATAAATACCATCCCTTGTAATACAGGCAGTGCTTTAGGAATCTTTGGAGAGGAATTTTCCAAGGCTGCCTCATTTAGTAAGTGACAAGAATTGCTGAGGAGTCTCTCCCATCTTCTCTTCATATCCACTCATTTCCACTCCCAGGACAGAGATTAAAAACCAAAAAAACAGTATGCTAGAAAAAGTCCAAAATATATGTATACATACATATATACATACATATGTGTATATATAAATATACACACACATACACACACACACACACACACACACACACACACACATATATATAAAAAGTTAATTTTTTTTTTCCCATGTAATAACAGAAATCAGGTCTGGAAGGCAAGTTATCTAATTCATCCCATGTTCCCAGACTGAATCCCTTCCTACTTAGTTTTATGACATGGTCAGGAAACACTCCAGACCTCTAGTAATGGAAACTCAGTGCCTGCCCTTGCCAGTCCATTCCAGAGCTTCACTTTGTTCACTGTTAGACATTTTCAATGTCTAACTTACATTGTTGCTTCTGGATTATAAACCCATGACTTCTTACTGACATAGAAAGCACAGTAACCTTTTCCTCCTTGCAGCAGCCTTTTATATATTTGAATAGAGTTCTTATGTCTTCCCCCAGGTTTCTTTTTTAGGCAGCACTTGATATCTGGATCACAAATACTCTCCTCTGTTTATTGGCCTTGTTCTTTTTAAACAAGTGACAGAGAGAGGAAAATTATGAGATATTTCAGAGTCCAGAGCATGGATGAGCTCCAAAGACTTGAGCTGGCCTGTGCTCACACTGAAGTAGTTAGTAGAGCCTTTAGACAAACTTTCCACCAAATTCAAGTAAAGAAATAAACAGAGCAGGAAAAAACATTTTTCATAGGGAACTGTCGTCCTCACAGGATGAACAGTTAAACCTAAATTATTTTGGAGACTGGCAGGATCAGGATTAGAGCTCAAATGCAAAGTTCGTTCTCCGCTAACACATGGAAATTTCCAGACAGATGTGATAAGAAATAAAAACCTTTCTGAGACCTTTGACTTCAGAAAGAAACAGTCATTCTCAAGCAGCCCGGTGTCTCCTGCCCAAGTCCATGACTAGTTCTCCCACTGCTACACAGGAGGAAAAGGATGAGGACAGTATCCCTGAGAACGCTGAGTAGGACATCACTCAGAAAACGGTTCTGTTCTGAGGTCACCAGAGAAGGTCAGGATCATTGGCCTCGATGTCTCCTGTTTTGGGGTTTGTATGTGACAGAAGACAACACCTGCAACATGCCAAAAGATCATTTTCCAAAACTCACATGCCTAATACCTTCCTTTGAGAAAAATACAAATCCCAGATGGAGCCATGTGCACATGAGCTTCTGTCAAAGGAAATATCCTAGAAAGACCTGTCATCACTTTGTTTTCTCTCCATATTCAGAGAGGACTTATGCAGGACTTTCCAAGAACCTCTGTTAAGAGCAGAACACAGCTTTACTCTTCATATATCCCTGGAATTCTGTGGTGCCACGTCCAGTCGTTGTATCTTTTGGCCCTACAACCAAAACCAGGCAGAATTGGGCTATTTTTTTCCACTATGCTTCCTGTATGGTACATTGGCTCTATGGATAGCTTGCGGAAAGCACCACAAATGTAAGAAGATTGGTCCATGAAATACAGGCAGATCAGCCATTCCTCCACTTTTGGTCATCTAAACAATTGTTATTACTTTTTCATTAGTTTTTCTAACAACACTTATTGCCATAACAGGTTGGCATTTCAGTTATGAACATCCATCACTGCCGGTGCTCATCATTTTGTAAGTCCAAAGCCAAACTTATTTGATTTTTAACTTAATTTGCCTATCCTACACTGAATCCTCCGGACCTGTACTCAGAACAAACATTATATAAAGCATTTCTTACCCAGGTCAGTCAGAGTCAAATGTACCTAAATGACTTGTGAAGCTACATCCCATCCTGAATGGTGGCTTCACATTGGTTTGAACACATTACTCAAAATGCCATTTAACTGATGGCTGATGGCTCAATACATTTTTCACCTGGTACTCTCAAGGTAATTTATTAATACTTATCAAAATCTCATATTTTATCATTAACTGTGAGACAAGAGAGACATGTTTGTAGACATAGGAAATTGAGAGAGTTTTCATGACATATTCAAACTCAAACCAGTAAGGCAGTACCATTTTCCACTGTTCAGGCCTCCATTCCTTAATTGGTCTTTTTTTTTTTAAGTCACAACCTCTAAATTTGGGCACCACAGGTAACACAGCATAGCAGCTTTTGATGTGGCATCCTTTGCTGGCCACCTACTTATTAGATTGCTTCCATGTTCTCCAGTCAAGGGGCACGGAATAGTTTTAAGCCACAGGAATCCAAGAAGAGACCAGACGAAGTCTTTTTCCTCATTTACTTGCAGTTTGCAGTCTGTCTGCCATGCAGCCACTCTTTAAATGTAAGACCTGCAGTTCACCTTCATGCAATTTGTCTTTCCCTTCAGAACCCACAGCCTTCCCTGGAGGTCTCACTGGATGAGCAGATCTTATACTCTTGGGTCTTTAGGTGCCACAGGAGCAAGAAGGATTTGCAGGGAGGATCTAATGACTCACGTGGTTTGGTTTCTGGATCCAGCTTGAGAGATGACAGCTGGTTGGAATACAGTGGGTTTCCAAGTAAAATGCTTCTTGCCTTGGCCTTGCCCTCGCCCTCCTTAAGTGTGTTCTTGTGGTTTCCATTTGTGTTTAGAAAGAAAGGAAGTTCCTGTTGTCTGCTCCAAGTGCGATTGAGCTTGTTGGCCAGAAGACATCACAAGCAATAAATCCCTCCTATCCAAAACAATCTATCCTTCTCTGTGACCTATATGAGACCCTTCTGACATCCTCTGCCAATTCTTTTTTTGGTCTGGCTGCTGGTAATGTCCTCTTCTCCTCCTCATGTATTCTTAAATCATAAAGAAGCTCAGCCAACCCACCAAATCCATTGACCCTGTACACTCTGAGTGGCACTCCCTGAGCACTGGTGAAGACTTGAGCTGGCAGACACACAACCCACTCCTGACTGCCCATGGTGGATCCCAAAAAAATGCTTTTAGCATTTCAGTGGCTTCCATAGCAGTGATTTCACCAGCAACTCAGGGTGATTCCAGACAGAAACGACCTGTAATTGAAATCTGAGCACAGATAAAGCACAGGAAATCTCAGCTTCAGCTGCATTGCCTATCCTGCAATGGGACATCTATTTTACATACATTTTACTGGCTAGGGAGAATCCTAGAGCTTGGGCCCATTTTTGTATGAGCTGTTTGAAACCTGAAGCACGGTGCCAAGAAGGATCAGTGCTCCCAGATTTCCATTTGGACAGCAAGTTACATGAATTTTCCCTGTATGTCATTTCCATACAGGAATTTCCATACAGCATTGGACCAACAGTGTGTCTGCTCTGTCTCTAACCTTGATCAATGCCAGATGTTTTGCAGGAAACCACATTCCACAGTGCAGTCTGATATTCCCTGATAGGTGAAAAAGGCTCCCTCTCCCTCCTGATGAGGAGCAGAGCACATTCATCACACGGCACGTGGATGTACGACACAGAGGTTAATTGAGGCTTGACCTGAAGTTAGTCCAAGTCACCGAGAGCCTTGATTTCAATGTGATTTGGATTAAATCAGTAGGTTCCCACCGAGCAGCCAGTTTAACTCCAGTTCACATGCTTTAGAATCCTCACCTGGCAGACATGAACAGCTCCCCTGATTTTGCTGGTGCTACGTCCCTTGGAGTAACTGAGGATCAAGGCCCACAAGACTCTACATCCTGCTTCCAGGTCAGCCTCACCCTCTTTTTTTGGTGTTTTTTTGTCAACATGTAGCAATCACAATATCTCGTGTCCTTCACTGTTGGTTTACACCAGAAAAATTACCTTTACACTCTCTGAACAGTGAGCAAGGACGGTTGGGGGTAAGAGGAGATACTCAGATCACACTGAGTGCTTTGGCAAAACATGGATTTTCCTCTTGGAACTTCCCATGTTCTGAAGTGCAGGATTTCCTATCTGCCTTGGCATGGATGGATGGAAAAAACAATTCACTTAAAATAAACAGTTCCCAGGAGACGTGGAGCCAGAGAAGGGACTGCCCCAATGCCGAGCACAAGGCCTGAAGGCCCAGTTCAAAGCTCTTAAAAGACAATAGCAAAAAAACAAAAAAAGTCCTATTGAGATGAATGGGATCAGCCCTGTGTTCATTAAGCTTCAAAGTTCTCACATGCTTGTGCACAGATACCACACAGACACAATCATCCACAGAAAATAGATTCAACACTGCCAGGCCACTTCTTGAGAAGTGATTAGGGCCCCATGAGTAATAAAATTGTGGGCTATAAAATCTCTCCTTACCTTCAGCTTTCCCATTGCCTTTCTGCTTGCTGTTTCGGAGGGGAGGCACTTCCAGTGAAACTATTCCTGAGTTCTCCAGGATGTTCACCTCTACTCGCAACCTCCCCACCAGCTGCTGGGGCCGGATGCTCACCGTGTACTCGTATTTTCCCAGTCTTCTTTGCAAAAGTTCTTCATAGTGCAGTACAAACCTGGCCTGCATCTTGCGAGGAATGAAGACAGAAGCTTTGAATGTCTCGTAGCCATTCTCCCTGGAAGGAAAATCCAAAGACACCTTCACAGCCCATACACGTGACACATTACCTCCTCCAGTGAATGACAAATCTGGATTTTGTTGGTTCAATAAAAGTATTTCCTCTCAGTGGGCATGTGAAACCACCAAGAAAGAAAACATTGTAATGCTTCAGAAAGATTTGGGCATGTATGAGGCTTCCACAGACAGAAAGGTATTAAAAGATAAGATGACTTCTTATGGAGAGGAGTATGACTGACATGTATAACAGGTAGAAAGGCCAGAGAAAAGGTTGTCTCTTTCACAGAATATCTGACTTGGAAGGGATGCACAAGGATCATCAAGTCCAGCTCTTAAGTGCATTCACTTCCCATATAGGGATCAAACCCACAACCTTGGCATTATTACCATCATGCTCTTACCAACTGAGCTTTGCAAGACCCATATTTCATAGAATTACAGAATATTTTGAGATGGAAGGGAACTTTAAAGATCATCTAGTCCAACCCTCCTGCAATGAGTAGAAACATATTCAAGCAGATCAGGTTGCTCAGAGCTCCATCCAACCTGACCTTTGTTTCCAGAGATGGGGCATCCACAGGCTGTCTGGGAAACCTGTTTTATTTAATGTATTAATGCATTTAATTCTTGACTTTGTCACTGCTGACACACTGCCATTACAACAGCAAAGTATAAATGAATCCTTCTTCCCTGATATTGTGGTTTATAGCTACAAACTCAATGGGGAGAAATAGGACCCTTAAGAAAACTTCACCACTGGACATTTCTCTAAAAGAACTCTTCCAACTGACCAGAGTGTACCAGCAAGTCTCCCAGCATAAAACTGTCATCTCTCTGTTCTTTAGTGGTGCAACCATGACTGGTAGTAATTGCCTATACAAGAAGATGCAACAGGGCAGGACAAGAGAAATCTAGTGTTTCCTCTCTTTCAGGTTCTGCCAATCTGCATTTGGATACTGAGACAGCATCCTTTGGTAAAGGTTCAGGACAGATTTTTCCTACCACAAATATGTCTAGTCACTCTTTGAATCCACATTAAATTTAGCATCTACGACTTCCAGTTGCAAGAAACTCAGTTTATGAGAGGAATACTTTAATTTGTATGGTTTGAACCCGTCATCGACTCAATCTAATTTCTCTAGTTTTTCTATGGAAGAGAGAAAATAAAGATTCCTTAATTTTTTTTTTACATGTTACTCATTAGTTCAGATCTCTTTCTCCCTCCCCACAGTTAACCATTTTTCTGGTCTGAAAATCACAGCCTATTTAGCTGTTTCTGAATATGTGTTGATGTTGGAATAGTGCTACTATCCCAGATAACTGGGAATAATGCAGGATTTTCAAGAGCATCAAAATCCAAAAATGGTGCATCTCTTTGTGAGATGTTTGGGGGAATTTGGGCACCTGGGAAAACAGCCCACAGTGCTGCTGATGTGTGTTCAGGTGAACACACAGGCTTTTGGATCACTAAAGGGATGGGATTTTCTGCCAGTGCTTGGCTGAGAGGACTAAACACAGTCAAGCACTAAGAACAGGGCAAGTAAACACGACTGCAAAGGGCTTCCTGTGGTTCTACCACTGACTAACTTCATGGTATTGAAGCTGTAACTCACGGAATTTCTGTGTGCTCCCTCCTGCTTAAGCCATAACCACCAGTAGGGATTGCAATGGCTACATCCAGCTTTTTCTGGGTTTTGGGGGATGGATGGCAACAGGTTGGCAAGGGCCGCCTGGAACAGTGACCCAGATGTCTTGCTGGAATGCAAATATGACTAACTTGCTTTATAATTAGTGGGCAGCCCAGGGCCTGTTGAACTCTCCTGCACACCAGGATCTCCCCCTGCGTGGGAGACACCTCCTAAAGTTAGTCCTCAAGGTTGAGAGTATCCTTGCTGCAACAGATTCTTGGTAAGTAGCTAATTGCATCCCAAACTTTGAAATCTTAAGTGCTATAAAGGATTGATTGCACATTTATAATCCTTTAGACATAAATCACTGACCTAGTCTGGGACTAGGAGTGGATCCAGCCACACCCGGGCTCCTCTCTGAGAAGGAGTTCAGAAAACAAAAAGGGGGTTCTTTCTGAACTTCATGATTCAATGGGAGGGTCTCCCTGACAGTTTTGTCTGACCCTGCTCTCTATGCAGTAAATAATCAAGTGTACCTTGCCACTGAATCTTGTTGAGCCACTGTCACATTTATCATTCAACTTTGTTAACTTACTGCTTTATATAAATAAGGTGCATTGTTGCTTCTACCTTGAAGCAAAGCGGATGACTCCATCCACGACAGCACCTTCGTTTTCCTGCCTGCCATTCAGGAAGTAACAAGAAATCTTTCCCTCAGTAGAACATCCTGGAGCATCTTGGAGGTGAAAATATTGTGTGACAGGGTTAGAAAAGGCAACGTGCAGTTTTACATGACTTGGAGTGTGGGAATGCCACCAGGCAGATAACATTCTGTTTAGCTGCCTCTCCCTATAAATCCATGCATGGGGATGCCAAAGCAGCCAAGACAGAGATGGCAGGAGAGTACATCACTTTCCAGAACACAGCCAAATGCACAACACTTACCTTCCATCTGTGGGGCTGGAAGGTTTCTTATCCCTTGTTTTGTCATCGCTGCTGTTTTTCTTTTCTTTCCCTGTGACCTCTCCATAGTAAGTCTTGTTGCCGATGCTCCTGGAGAGACCAGAGGTGTCAGCATGATCACTCTGCACCCATGTACAGTGACAGCTGTACAGGTTGCTGTAAATGAGTTCACAGACTGTGCAGAGTGAACAGTCTAAGTGTGCTGCTGGCGTAACTCTCCTGGAGTCACTCGAGTCAGTGAGTCACAAGCTGACTTAGAAGTTCCCTGGCTGGTAATACCAGCACAGTACATTTTTAGCCCAGGAGTTTACCTCTCTAAAATGCCAGTCCAGCAGGTAATCTCTGAAGCATAAGGATGCAGCATAAAGCAAAACAATTGCCAAGAATCCCAACAAGAACTTTTTTTGTCTGTTCTGGGATCCACCATCTGGGTGAATGCACATGGAGATATTCAGGATGGCTGCTCTCAAGAAGCTACCTCCCTGACTAAGTGTTTCTCCCTTGGAATGAGTTGCGGAGCAATGCAGTCCACAAGGAAACAACCCTTAACATATATTTTGTGTGGCCAATAGCAAAAGTCTGTTATTCCTCCTATTCAGTCTAAAAGCCTCTCTAAAAGAAGCCACAGTCAGATCTGAAGCTGTAGCTTCAATATCTACCCACAGAGAGGATCTGAGCATGACCAAACCAAACACATTTTTGATACAAGAGCTTAATTTATTCCTTAATAAGTCATTTCAGTATGAACTTGGTTGCCTCTACATGACTTATTATCCACAGAGAATTCCTGGCACCTCCAGCCAATGAACCTATTTGCTGGTTGGAGTTGATTCCTACTCCACTGACACTGTGGAGTAACAGGAACAACATGGAACAAGAAGCTTCTTAGACACGAGAGTCAGTCAGGCAAGATAAATATCATGTGCCAGTGTTGCTGAAACTTTAGCTTGAAAGGTTTCTGTGGTCTTGGAGAGATTTTTCTGGTTCAGATCAGAGACAGAGGAGGAGAAGGAAGTTGTTAAAAGACACTCAGATGGGAAATAGAATAGTTTCCTTCCCCATTTACACTGAGGACTTGAATTTAGTGTCCTGTAATCCAAGGGACTTACTCTGTGCTTTGGGGCCATGCCCAGTCTCAGGTGGAGTATAAAATTTCTATTTTCCCAAAAGAAATGCAAAAAGGCCTTGATACAGTCCTGCTGAAGACTTGCTAGCTTTGGAAATCCCAGAGAACCATCTGTGGGATGGGAGAACCATTGCCCACCCAGGTGCCAGCGTTACTTACTCACATGGTAAAGTTGGAGATGAAGGCTGCAGCTGGGATCTGCATCTCAAAGACGGCTTCCCGTGCCTCGGATCCGCTGTTCACCATCGTGCAGGACACCGTGGTGAAGGCATAGCGGGAAATGATCGTGGATCTCACGTTGAACTCAGACATCCGAGGCCTGGTTTCCTGCAGGGATCAAAAGGTTAACACTGGCAGCTGGGTAACACACCCCTTCAGTGTTTCAATGGATTTAATGCTTAATATGCTCAAGTAAATTCCCACTCTATGAGTATTAAACACCTTTGTGAAAACCAGTTGACAACAGGCAAGGTGGGCTTGCCCTCAACATTTCAGATGAGCTTTAAAAGGTAAACCAGGGACATGGCACTGCCTTTGTTCATGCATAGAGGCCACAGTCATTCTCCAGTGCTTGGGAAGATTCTGAGAGCTCTGATTATGCCAGCCTGTATGTTGTGAAACACACTGATAAAATCCATCTGTGTCTTAAACTACAGCCTTCAACTCTGACTGTGTGAGAGGAATAGGATTAGTCCCTTACGGCCTGGGAAGAAAAGACCAAAATATATTCCCAGGGGGTCCAGAACTGTGTCACAGAACCTGCCCTCTGTACTGTGCACAAGAGCAGATGGAAGGCTTCCTGAAAGGCTGAGATCACTGTGTGTGAAGCAGCACCTCCGAATTCATATGGTCAGATCCATAAGTTATGTAAACAGAAAAACTGCTGTCAGTGGAGTCAACCGAGTCCTCCTCTGCTGAGAATCCATGCTGGAAGTCTCAGCCAGTAGATGGAAGAGACTTAATAAAAAACTCTGACACTGTGACATCTCAAGTAAAGTATTTTAAGCTTTTTAGCCCACACTGGATTCCTTCCAGCAGAGAAGTAGAAGAGACAGCAATGAATGACACACGATGTAGCAATAGAATCTAAAAGCCAGTTTCTGCTTCTTGGGAATGTGTTTTCGTGCACAAGTCTAGGGTTGGAGCATTTCTCCGGTCTAATGTGGTTTTTTTGACAGCAACATCTCCATGGAGCTCAAATGTTTTCTTCCTGAAAGACTTCAGTGTATTTAACTGTAAGCAGCCCTTACAAAAATAAACCCTGTGCATTGACTTAAACAATCAAAGACCAAACCTCCAAAAGCAGAAGGGAGTTAAAGGGTAAAATACACTGCAAATACAGAGGAACTTCACTTAGCCAAATACAGAGAGACTCTTCCTACTGAGGTTGATAAAAAGTCGTAGTCATGTAAGGCTTGTGAGGACAAGAACGTGTTCTTCAGCTGCGTGGCCAGGCCTTTTTTCAGAACAAAAATAATTTTGGCAAATGGCTTAAGAAAGGGAGCAAGTGTTTGTATGAGTATGAAACAAGCACATTTCTGCAGTAGCTGATGGCATCAGAAGTGACTGAGCATCCAATTAACCAAGCTGCCGGGCTAGTGAATTCCAGACAATTGGAAGAACGAGGATCCACTGGAAACAAACACAAAACTGCCAGCAGACTTGGCATAAAGCCCCTCCTGCCTACACTTCCAAGGCTTGGAAAGACTGAAAAACGTGTCTCAGATGCACCCAATCATGATGGATATCTTTTACAGCTGTGATGATGTGTGATGAGCTCTGTGTCCACGATCATCCTGCTCAGCTCACATGGAGCACATCGACAAGAGATTAGAACTTCCAGGGTGGGATTTGTCTCACTGATTTCAGGCAGCTCAGTGTGATGCATCTAGATTAGAACAGCCCTGCTCAGATCTAATGTCCCACTCTCAGGTCACTGGTGGCTTTTACTCAATTGCTGATAATTAGAACTGGTTCCTGCTGTTCTTAGGACATTCCCTGATGCATGGCTTTCCACCCTCATTATCCTGAAGCTGGAGAGGATGGGGAGTTTTGATTGGAAGTAGGCTTGTAGAAATGTTTTCACATACAGTGAGGTGATGTTTCATTCAGTCTTCCACACCCCTAATTGCCTGTGGCATAGCAAGAGATACAGGGGATTTAATAACAGAAGAAATAGAAAGAATCTTAAAGTACAGCACATTCTTTAGTTTCAGACCTTCTGCATCCACTCTCGTGTGCTGCAGTCCATCATAAGCTGTGGGTTCAGACATGGATGACAGCTCAGCAGCAAAAGAAGATCAAGACCTTTGCCTTTCACTTGAGATACAAGGGGTTCTGCAGTGACATGTCTGACACTGTGAATGCCCTTAAACTGCAGAAAGTCTTTTGAATGTGGTAGAGAACATGAACTTGCCCCTGTCATGACAACAGCACGAGAATGGTTCTGTTGGGTGAGAACAAAAGCAGTTCTAACCCTGTAGCCTGTCACTGGCAGAGACCAACAGTATGTGCTTAGAGTATAAAATCAGCTCAACCTGCACTGATTCTACTCAGAAATATTCTCTCTGTTTTCAGTAATCTGTGGCCGAAGACTCCTGAGTCAAGAGTGATATCTTTGTGCTTTTTAAACCTTTGTGGATTTTTTTCTATTATTTTACACAGCTGCTTTTTCAATCCATGTAAAATTTTAGCATCTGCAACATCTTGTAGCAAGGAGTTCCACAGCTTAAGAATGTTTTATGTGAAAACCCACAGCATTTAGGGTTTTTTTGCTAAATCTACTCTTTGCTGGCTTCAGCTGATCTCTGTCATAGAATCACAGAATGGTTAGAGTTGGAAGGGACCTCAAAGACCATTTTGTTCCAACCCCCCTGCCATGGGCAGGGGCACCTTCTTCTAGAGCAGGCTGCTCAAAGCCCCATCCAGCCTGGCCTTGAACTCTTCCAGGGATGGGGCATGTCTCTATCCCACTGAACAACTCCAGTTCTGACACCCTCACAGACTGAGGAATGGCAAAAACAAATGAAACGAACACCCTTCCCTTTTCCTGGTGGACAGGAGTTGCTGTTAGAGGGATCAAACGCTGAATAAGGGCATCACATAAAACTGAGGATGAGAGAACTGGTTCATCTTCCCATCCCTGGAAGGGATCTGCTATTCCTTGTATATAGAGAATATAAACGGTGGGGGCAGAGGCAGCTTCCAAACAGGTTGCTCAGTCAGGCTTGGCGGGCAGCCCAAGTTCCACTCTGTGATTCCTGTGCATTCCCTGGAGCTCTTGCACAATCCATCAGTGCCTGATGCTCTGACTTACAGCTGTGCAAATGCCTGTTTGTTTTCTGCCCTTTTTATCAAGGCCTTCAGAAGATGAGAGGCAGCACAAAGGAAAAAAAAGGCAAAACAAACCATTTGTTTAATATTATTATTACTGTGATTTATCATCCCTATTAAAAACAAAGTGAGGGAATGCCAAGGCAGCAGATTCACTGCTATGAGGCAGGTTGGCTGGATGCTTTATGGAGGTGTCCTGGTTATTATGATGAACTGGGAGCTGAAATTTTTTTGCCAAACAAATTGTTTTATGCTTGTTTACATCAAGTGTCTGGAAAGACAGAAAAGAGCTGAAGATAAATGAAACCCATTCCATAATTTTGCCTTTATCAGTTGCTTTAATCAAAACAAACTGACCCTGTCTCAGATTAGAAGTAATAAACTGGTAATAAGTCTGAGAGGTGTTCTCCTCTAGGCTGCTGATTCTAATCTGTCAAAGATCAAAGGGACTAGAAGCTATTAAGGTGGTGGTTGTTCAGTGTGAAATGAGTTTCACCAGTTCTCAACTGGGAGGTCCCCAGAAAAGCCAGAAAAATAAGTGGCTGTGAACAGCAATTCCACTGACTGCCTAACTACATCTAATTCTTAGATTCCCATGCTGAAAGAAGGATATTGGCTTCCTTGTTTTCTTCCTTTCCTCAATAGATTTTGACGAACAACAGAGATCTCCAAATTTCAAACCAAACTCTGCCTTTCTCTTCAAATTCAGTGAGATTTCATCAGGCTTTTGTTCACTGTGTGGTTAAGTCTCGTAACATTAGATGCTCTTTCTCCACATCTGGGGGTGAGAAGATGGATTGGGAAGCATTAGAAGAACCTGTACCTGTTGCATTGATCAAAATGAAAATACTTTTTTTGCTTCTTAGAATCTCATTCTATGGATTCTACCATCACCCACTGACATCCTGGGCACAGGGATGCACACACAGACACATACAGGGAAAGTGTAATTCCCATGAGGTAAAATAAAGACAGGGTGTGATACGTACCAGCCTCTGCAGGAATTTGGCCTGTCTGGGGACACGGCGAGCGACCTGCAAAGAGTTAAGGGAGTTAGTGGAGCCTTCTCAGCTTACAGCAGACATGGCACTTGTTTGAACCCAGACACGGGTGTGTGCGACTGATCACCCATGGCCAGGTTCAAATGCTCCTCTGGTTAAAATTAAAACCTGAGTCTCTTCCACATTAACAGGCCCATTGATCAAAGCTCAAGCAGTGGAATGCAGCTCTCTCAGGCAAGGAGGCATGGGGTGTTTTGAAAATGGTACTTGGCAAGAGACCCCCTATATGTGATGACAGGAACCTCACCCTTTAGCCCTGGCCCTGGATGCTGTGTCTTAGCTCTGGAAGTGTATTCCCTTATGGCTTCCTATGGAGTCACACAAAGCCTCTGTGTCTTTGCCCCATTGCATGGTATATGGCACACTTCCATCCCTGGAAGTATTGAAGGCCAGGCTGGATGGGGCTCTGAGCAACCTGCTCCAGTGGAAGGTGTCCCTGCCCATGGCAAGGGTTTGGAACTAGATGATCTTTAAGGTCCCTTCCAACCCAAATCATTCTATGATTCTATGATTAGTTCAAATTAATGTTAAAGCTTCAGCTGTATTAATATTACCTCAAGAGCAGATCTGTTGCCTTAATACTCTCCACAGGTGCTGTGGATTTATTATGCAGTGACAGAAAAGCACTATTTATGTGCAAAAAGGGAATAAAGATATTTAAACTGAGACACAGACCTTATTATGAATGAAGTACTTCACTTATGACAGTACAATCATACTCACTGCGTCACCCTTCACAACTCCTCTGACTTCCCTGCACATGGTGTCTCAGCTCAGCAACATCTCCAAATCAAATCTCTCCCCAAAGCAGAGAGTACAAGTCTCTTGTCAACGAGGGAAGCCAAGTGCCTTCTTAAAATGTCAGTGGAACTCCAGAGAGCAGAGGAATGCAATGATATCTTTTTACCTGATTTGCCCTTTCTGTTGATTTACACTGAAATAACATCAGCCCTTGCCAAAGAGATGATTTTATGTCTGTTTATATCATGCCTTGAAAAGCTCAGGAAAGCCCAATGGGGAAATTAAAGTCTCATCCACTAGAATCCTTATTATTTCCTGCTGCATTATTTAAGCCAACATCTTGTAAAATTAGAACCGAGGGAAAACAGCTCCCTCGGGAAATTGTCAATGGAGAGGAGAGGAGAATTATCTGCACTTTAAATTTTGGAAGAAACTTTCTGTCTGGGTCTGTTATATCAGGGAAGTAAAGCCCTCAGGAGCCTGCTGTGACAGGATGCAGACTCTCCATCACTGTAGGTTCTTCAGAACAAGCCAGATAAATATCTGTGAAGTTGGTCCTGCTTGGAGCAGGGGCAGGGATGAAGAGTCAATAGTCCTCAGTACTCTTTTACTAAAGATTTACCTTTTGAAACAAATCCACCTTGTTCTGCATGGCATGGTCACAGTAATATTTAATGACTAATTGGTGAAACTGGAACCTTGGTTACTGGTTTTATCTTTGCCCACCACACACCCATTTTGTTTGCTTGCTTATTTGCACAAGAGGGCTTTGTATGACTTGGCCCCTTCAAGAGGTACCTTCTAAAGTCTTGGGGATAACAAATGGTCATCAGTGAGGAGCTAAGGAGCTCCAGATAGCAGTTTGGATATCCTGTTTGGATAGGGCTTCGTGACCACTGCCAAAGCACTGCTGCAGGGTTTATGATCAGTCCACTGGACTGTGCTAATCAGGCAGCTTCACTATCATCTAACTGGAACAATTTCCAAATTACCATCAACCTTTAACTTTATAGCCTTCTAAAACATTCATTAAAGACAAGTAATTGCTAGTAGTGACCCCATAACTTGTTGCCATCTGCTAGCCCTAGCATAGTATATGTAATTCAAGCTGTGCAGTGGATTTGTTTATAGTGTAGTATCTTGACCTAGGGGAGTACCTGCCTGTTCTTAACCTGGCTCAGGTGTTCAGGGAAGACAGACAGATGCCTTCTTCTAGACCTGGCTGTTCCAGGGGACTAGATCACCACTGGTTCTGGTGGGAGTTACTGCTGCCCTTGCTCTGCCAGCAACATAGCTCCTGTGAAAACAAGGAGCCTCAAGCAACATCAGCCACGTTATTTCAACACTGTGAGCCACTTACTTGAGCTTTGCAACTGATTTTCCCCCTAAAGCAGGTATGTGAGTGTTCCTAGGTCCCACTCCACTGGCAGCACACTGGTGGAGATATTCTCTCCCACTTGGATGAGTGGGTCTGTAAGACAGTGTTGGTTTGTGGCTGAATTCCCCAAAAAGGAATATGTGTTCATAGTAATCAGGATTTACAACAAAGTTGCTGAGGTCCTCATAGTGGAGAGAGGTGGACATTTCTGGGGAGAGATTCTTCCCATTCCAGGTGGGACAAGCAACTGAATGACCAACTCTGAGACAGGTACAGGTATATATACAGAAGGTCTCACTCTTCCCACTTTTCCCTGCTGCACGGCAGAAGATGCCAAACACAGGGAAATACTGACACTTTAAACACACTGGAGTATCCCACCTGATCTCCAGCAAGGCACAGGTATTCCAGAGGTCCTTCATTGTATCTATCAGACCCACATGGGTGTCTCAGATACTACAGAGCCTCTCTCAGATCTGATCAAATTTGGACAACAGATTGATGCCTTAAGTGACCCAAAGTCACGAGTGGTATCTGTTACAGACCTGAAGGATGTGAGCACAGACCTGAAGCTCAGCCTTTTATAGAATCATAGAATGGTTTGTATTGGAAGGGACCTTAAATGTCATCTAGTTCCAAGCCACCTGCTATGGGCAGGGACACCTTCCACTAGAAATGGACCACAGCCTCTCAAACCACCACCCAAACTCTCCTGCTAACTTGCAAAAAGTTCATTACCCTTTCAGCACCATTTTCTCAGAAAATCTAAGCCACAGAATAACACAACGTAACAGCCCTCACTTGCAGAATAATGGATTTGTTTTCATTGTCAATAAGCATTTTAGAAGCTGAAATTTGTACGATCTGTTTCATCCAGCGCGAGTTAAAAATCCAGTACAGTAAAACCATAGGCAGAAAAACTTTCCTTCGAGCCTGAAATACTCCGAATTACTCAGACTGGCGTGTGGCCAGGACACTGCGTTAACTCCCTTTCCCTGCGAAATGCCTCGTTAGCACAGTCGTGGGGATATCGGAGTGAGCCCATCCCCTGGCTGTGGCACCCACCGCGGGAGGGTGATCCCCTGGCTTAGCACCTCCAGCACCTCCGACAACTTCCATGCTCGTTAAGAGCAGCCTCCCACGGAGCTGAGCCGCAGAGACAGGTGGAATAAATGTGTTTTTATCAGATTGTCCTGCATGTCGATGCTGACGGTTAAGAAGGGACAAGCCAAGCCCCGGCCACCTGCTGCTCCCGAACAACCACCGCCTTAAAACCTACCTGCTCCACGATGCTGGAGTCTGCCAGCAGCTGCTCCTCCAGGTATCTGGCCATCAGCTCCGAGTCGGGCTGCCCCGCCGAGGTGGGGAAGCCCCAGCAGAGCCACAGCCAAAGGATCATGTTGGAGGGGAGCGCCGGGGGGCTCCTGCCCCGCAGGTGAGAGGAGAAGCCCCGCTGCTGCCGCTGCTGCGCTGCCGGACCGGCTGCGGGGAGGCTGACAGGACACACAACGACCCACCCTCTTCTCCTCCTTCCCGGCTCGGGACCGGCCCCTTTTCCACTTAGGGCGCTGCAGGGAATCCTTTCAGGGTTTCTATCCCTCAGCCAGGGGTCCCGTGGCCAGGAGGCACCGCCGTGCCCTTCTCGATGCCGCTCTCACCCCTCTTGCCCCATGCAGCAGAAAGGGGAGATGCTGGGGCTCCCTGAGGTGCTGCCACTTGTCATTTTGGCACCAGCAGCACCCCGTGGTGACCCTCAGCAAGGGAAAGGTTGAGGGGACATTTCCTACACCTGGCTGGGTGCTGAGGAAGGGACAAGGTGGTGCCCAGTGCCTCCAATCCACCCCCTTAAGGAGCACAACCCCAGGATGTGCTTCAAGGCTGAGGCTTTCCCAAGGGGTGGCAAAACCCTCTATGAAGGAAAAGCTTCTCCTACTCCACATCTGGAGAGCCCTGGTTGGTTTGGGAAAGCTGCCCCAAGGGCAGGGCAGAGCCCTCTCCACACCCTCACCTTGGCACTCTACTGGGTATCCAAGTGCCTCCCCTTGGGAAAGATGGCCAAGAGCCCTATGTTCACCCCTCTTTCTTTCCTACACAAACTCCATTTCTCAGCTGAGCAAAGCTGGGGTGCTTTTTCAGGTCCTGCTCTTCTTCTCTCCATTTCCCAGAGCCTTCTTCTCGCAGACCAACCCTGGGGAGAAGGTGGAACCTGCAGGGGAGGTTGGGTTCCACCTGGCAGCTGCCAGGGACATTCCTGCCAGCTGGCACTGACTGGGCACTGTGTCATCCCCAGGCATTTAGAAACTTGTATCTGCAGCCTCCACCTCACCCCAAATTTGCTACTTTGTTTATCTATGCCAGCAGTAACTTCTCAAATCCAGCAGAACTAAATTTCCTCTCTTTTGGTTCGATTGCCTTTTTTTTTTTTTTTAATTTTATTTTTGGCAGGTGCAAGGTGCTGCACGCACAAACCTGGCATGACTTAACCACTGTATTTTCTTTTTCCTTTCCAACTCTGACTCGTCAGGGACTGAAGCCATTGTGGTTCATCTCCCAACCATGGCAGTGACAGTGAGAGTGGACTGTCCTCTCTCTGGCCTTGCTGTCCTCCAAATCTAGCATATGTTTTGGAGGAGCAGGAATGTGCTTGCCCCCCTTTCAGGAGGGATGAGGGAAGCTGAAGATGGAGCAAAGGGAATGGCAGTGTGGTCAACACCTTGGGAACTCCCTGTTAGCAAATTGATGGCTCAGACTTGGGCTGAGCCTAAGTGACACCATGTTCACACACAAGCCCCTTCTGGCATTGCCAGTAGGAGGGAAGCAGTCAAGGGCCTGGCCAGTCCCTTTCCCACCGGGACCAGTTCACCACTTGCAGGTACAAAGGCCTCTGGAGTAGCCACATCCCCAGTGGGAGGTGCAAAGCTGGTCTGCACTGCAGAAATGATAAAGGACCGATGTGGCTGGAGAAGAGGAGATGGTGGGAGAAAGCCAGAGAGAGGCTGTGGCAGGATACTTCAGGCCTCCAGAGACACCTCAAATGTTGCTCTATTGTTCTGATCCCTGCAGGAGACAACTGAGACACTATCTTCATCTCCTCACCATTGCAAAGAGAGATGGAAGAGGTCTCAACCATCCTCTGGGGAATCAATGAAGACTCAAAGCAACGGTTCGGGCTGAGGCCTTGTTTAAGGACATGCAAAAAATGGTTTGAAGTATTTTTCATCTGGTTCCAGTTTGTTTCAGCTCCTGCATGTCTTGTCTGGCTCAGAGAGAGAAGAGCACTGAAACAGCATGGCAAGTAGGGCTGCAGCCTCCTGTGCCCTCACTGGTGACATTAGGTTGGGCTGCTCCTTGGCCTGCCCTGTCCATGTTTCACTACCCCAGGGACACAGATGAATAAGTCTTGCAGTGTGTGCTTAGAAATGCTGGAAACAGGCATTTAAACCATGATTTTCCTACTGTTCTGGAAAACCTAGAGGAAACCAAGGCACCCCTGTAAAAGCAAGTCAAAACTAGCCCTAGAAGTAACAGTAGTTTCTGGCCAGTTTGAAATAACCATTGCACAGTCAGGAGGCATTTGGAATAACATCCAAATTTCACCAGCTGTTCCTCTTTGCCTCCTGACCAGCATTCAGCCACTCTGCTTCCATCCCTGCACAGGTGAGGAGCTAAGGGCCAGAGTGAACCAAAACAGTGAGACCACGTGAAGATGCTGTGATAGAGCTGATCCTGAGCACACCTGGGGAAAGGAGGAAGTTCAAGCCAGAACAGGATCCTCGAGCAGGTACGGGATAACCAAGGGGCATGAGAGAGTGAGCTGGGAAAGGCACTGCCCTTCCTGAAGGGATTAGGAGCAGCCAATACTGCTTATGTTCCCCTCAGCAAGGGCACGTGAGGACACAGCACGTAGCTAAGTAAGACTGAGGTGTGTTTGAATGTGAGTTTTGGTGAGTGAACATTCAGCCTGGGGTCTTGATTGTTCACATTATCCCCTCTTCTGCCTCCTTGGAATACAGCCTCCTGATTTCGGGGGCAAACATGGCAGGCACTGTGCTGGGGATGCCCCTGGAGTCCAGGACAAGCAGTTACTCAGGTGTGTTCACATCAGACGTGTTTGAGGCTGACTTTTGCCGACTTAGCAGGATGAGCAGCTGTTCTTTGGATGGGGGGCCTCAGCAAATTAAATTGCCTAGCAGGCCTGGGGCCAGCATGAGCAGAGACACCAGGGAGAGGCATGATCCAACAGCTGGGCTTCCACACACATTTCCCCTGGAACAGATCATGTTAAATCAAGGAATCTCTCTGTTGACACACGAACACAGGTGATGCTGACCTCATGCAGGGGCAGCTATGTTAAATGCCCAACTAGAAATATCTGAACCATGAACTAAATCTACCCAAAGCACTAACAAACTGTACAATTTAGTGGCATTCAAAGCCAGCAACTGGATCAAGAAATTGGCAAGAATCCCAAAGGGTTACACAGGTGCAGTCTTAGATAAATGTCCACAGGTAAAATTAATTACCATGGAGTTCAGGGAATTGTGTTCCATATTTTTCTTCAGGTCTGAATCTAAGCAATCTCCACTGAAACATCTGGATGGGACCTGATGGTCCCCAGTTCTGACACTACTGAGCGGTGCCTGTTTTCCTGAAAGAATCATAGAATGGTTTGGGTTGGAAGAGTAAAGATTATCTCGTTCCAACCTCCCTGCCATAAGCAGGGATGCCACCCAGTAGATGAGGGTGCTCAGGACCCCATCCAACCTGGACTTGCACGCTTTCAGGGATGGGGCATCCACAGCTTTTCTGGGCAACCTGTGCCAGTGCCTCACCATCCTCTGCATAAAGAATTTCTTCCCAATTTCTAATCTAAATCTCTCCTCTTTTAGTTTAAAACCATTCCCCCTTGTCCCATCACTTTCTGCCCATGTAAAAAGTCGGTCTGCCTCTTTTTTATAAGCTCCCTCTAAATACTGAAAGGCTGCAATAAGGTCTCCTCAGAGCCTTTTCTTCTCCAGGCTGAACATTCCCAGCTCTCCCAGACTCTGTCCATAGCAGAGGGGCTCCAGCCCTTGCAGCATCTTTGTGGCCTCCTCTGGACTTGCTCCAACAGGTCCACATTTTCCTTGTGCTGAGAACTTTAAACTTGGATGCAGTACTCCAGGTAGGGTCCCACAAGGGCAGAGAAGAGTATAAAGGTATTTTCTGGAGTCCCAGTGGCTGCTGATCTCCTGTTGCCATTAATTGTGTGCACCTTGGCCCAGCAGAACATTTCAGAACTTCCAAATCTGGTATTATTCTGGTGAAAAATTCCCAAAGTCTCTGATAGAGGTGCCTTGATGATGGAGATGTCTGACTCTGTCTGGGGGACTGGTGTGAAACCCACCTCAAAGAGGTCACCAGAGCAGACAAGCAGGTTACTGAGTACCTGGTACATCTCTGATGAAGGGCAGTACAAAGAGAAGGAAGTTGAAACACCAAAAAACCCTTTTCTGTGTGTCCATATTTCATTTCCCACACTGAATGGTGTGTGGTGGGATGAATGTCAGGGCAGTAGCACCCTGGATAAGTGTGTTGCCTTGCAGGTACTGCCTGTTCTTACCTGGATCACCGGAAATTTCCAGATATGAAATTTAAGATGGGAAAGGGGAGCTGGCTATCTCATAAGACACAGAAATGGTGACATTTCTCCTCGGGCACGAGGTAAGTTAACACCATTTAATTATTATGAAGGACAGAAATGCCCAACAGTAACTCCAGGTGGTTCAGGGAGGACAGTGCAAAAAACTCCCAGAGGAATCCTAGTCATGAGCAGACAATTCATGAAACAACCCAACGGACACATAGCACAAAACATCCTACTGAGCTCCTGTTCCCCTCATGAAATTCTGAGGAGGTTCTCAGAAACTGATGGTAAAGGCTCTGAGCATTCTCAGTTCTTATATTTTCTGTACCTTCTCGAGAAATTTCAGCTTTTTGGAGTCTTTTGAACAGTATATTTGAGCAATTCGTGCCATCTAGTGGTCACACTGATTTCCCAATCTTGATATTTTTACAGAAAAAAAAATAAAGCCACGTGGAGTGGTTGTGAGAGGACTGAAATAAAGGATTACAAAATCAATTTTTAAAACAAACTTTGTTCTAAAGGGACTTCTTCATCTCTTCAGAGCATCAGTGCTTTCCTTCCCCATCCAGGGGCCCAGATAACTCCAGAACAGCTTCAAGTTTCTGATGAGAAAGGGCTGGTCACTCTAAACCAAGGACACATGTGTGAACAGAACTCAGCTTACACACAAAATTCAAGCCATACTAGATGCCATCAACACAGCAAAGACTGGGTGCTCCCTCCTGCTGCTCCTGCAACCCTGGAGGAGCCCTGTCATAGCCAAAGCTCCCATGGCATTCATGGAGGGTTTTCCTGAGCTAGTTTTGAGGCGTTAACTCAAATACTGCTGGATTGTATCACAAAGAGTG